TTCATATGACAATTTTTTTTAAGTGATTGATTAATAATATGTACATGTTATAGATCAAAAATATATATTATACATTCATTTATGGAACTATACAGGTTGGGGACACCAAATGATATGCAATAAGAAGTACCATTTCGTGATCCCATCAAAGGAAACAATGGCCGCCTTTCTAAAACTAGAAGGCGGAATCTGCGCTTCTCCTGAAAAAGAAAGTCTCTCTCATCTCGTGGAGCTTCAAGGCCATGTCCTTCACGGATTTTTCCACTCCAACGGATTTGGTCACTTGCTCTCTATCAATGGCATCGAGTCCGGTTCCGACATAACCGGCCATCAGATTATGGAGTTGTGGGATCGCCTCTGCAATGGTTTAAAGGCCAGGTATACGTACTATACTAAGATTATAATTACCACCCATTGTCTTTGTATATGTATCATCACGTGATCTATATCATATGGTATAATCCATTCAACACAATTCAGTTACTTGTCATATAATATTGGATTTTTAACCAATTCATGGTAGTCAAGTGGTTTGAAGATTCAATAATATATGGTTGAGAGAAATTTCAATAATAGAACTTGGGACTTGGTCTAGATTTTTTATTTTAGGATTATATATAGATTTTATTTGAATTTTCTCTTAGGTTATTAGTTATAATTTCACATATTTTGATTAAATTATTAATTACAGTAAAAAAATTATTTATGTCTTATATTATGTTATGCTATTATGTTGTATATATAGGAAAATAGGGTTGAACGATGCATCACACAAGAAAGGGATGGAACTGAGGCTGCTGCATGGGGTAGCAAAAGGAGAGCCGTGGTTCGGTCGTTGGGGTTACCGGTTCGGGTCAGGGACATACGGAGTGACTCAAAAGATCTACGAGAAGGCACTTGAGTCGGTCCGAAACGTACCCTTGTGTTTGCTTAACCATCACCTAACCAGCCTTAACCGCGAGACTCCAATCCTCTTGTCAAGGTACCAAACTTTATCCACCGAGCCATTGATCACTCTCAGTGATCTCTTCATGTTCATGCTTCATCTCCATTCGCGTCTTCCTAGAGACAACTACATGAATAACTCTCGAAACCAAATCATCTCAATTGATAGTACCAACTGTAGATGGTCTCAAAAACGGATTCAAATGGCTATTAAAGTGGTTATAGAGTCTTTGAAAAGGGTCGAGTGCCGGTGGATATCGAGACAAGAAGTGAGGGACGCAGCTAGAAACTACATTGGGGACACAGGTTTGCTTGATTTCGTGTTGAAGTCGCTTGGTAACCAGGTGGTCGGGAACTATTTGGTCCGACGTAGTCTAAATCCGGTGAAGAAAGTGCTAGAGTATTGCTTGGAGGACATATCAAATTTATTACCAAGTAGTAACCATGAGCTTATAACCATTCAAAATCAAAATCCAATGGGGAAGACGACTACGGCCACGAACGGACACAATAAGATCACAAGAGGTCAAGTGATGAAAGACATGGTTTACTTTTATAGACACATTCTTATGGACTACAAGGGAGTGTTAGGTCCCATAGGCATATTGAACCAAATCGGAATGGCTTCAAGGGCAATCCTCGACGCTAAGTACTTCATCAAAGAGTATCATTACATCAGAGATACATCGATGAAAACTATTCAGCTGAATGGAGGTAGCAAATTAGGAATATTCTGCACAATCGCATGGAAATATCATCATCATAACAACGACATAAAGATGCCTCCACCAGAGTGCATAGTGTTGAACAAAAATGCAACAATGAGTGAAGTGTGTAGAGAGGCAGAGAGAGTGTTTAGGGAGATCTATTGGGAACTAAGAGACGTCGTCGTGGATAATCAAAGGGAGATGACTATAAGGGTCGATGAGATGACATTGAATGGGAACAAAGGATTGGTGTTAGATGGGAATGTGGGAATGATGATGAACATTGAAGTGATGAAGTATTATGATGATGAAGATAGTAAGAAGAAGGATAAGAGGATTGAATGCGAGTGTGGAGCAAAGGAGGAAGATGGAGAGAGGATGGTGTGTTGTGATATTTGTGAAGTATGGCAACACACAAGGTGTGTTGGTGTTCAACACAATGAGGAAGTTCCTCGCATTTTTCTTTGTCAAAGCTGTGACCAACATCTTATTCCTCTCTCTTTTTTGCCTTGAAACCCAATCATGCTATAAACCTTAGTCTCCATTTATACTTCATAAAATAATTGTGTACCGCGCAGCGTGTGTTTATTTGAGAAATATCAGATAAAAACAGTTAAGCAAGTTATAATGAGCAACAATTTAAAACATTTCACATTTTATTTTCTAAATGAAAAAAAATATATTTTATTTCATGTATCAAACGTAGATGAATATGTAAAATGAATGAAATTTAATATTTCAGTAACACTTCACTTTTTATTCATGATTATTTATCATCTCATTTTTTTTCATTCCAAAAATAATTATACCTTCTACATCATATCCCTAAAGCAATTATAAAAGTAAATTATCTATGGTCAATCTACTTTTAGTCTTGATAAATCCAAGGAAGATCTTCGAGTTGATCGTTTCTGTCTAATGTGAGACGATGAGACCATTTTACCTAAGCAGGAGAGTAAAATCTATATGCATAACTAATTCAACTCTGATTATCCATAACGTAGCTCCTACATATTAAAAGATTGTCATTTAATATTTTCGCACTACATTAGATTCGTGACAGTTTTACATTGATCTTGATTTGAGTATGCTGACGTGTTGGTCTCATAATTATTTATTTGACAATAAATGCATTCATATTATAACTTTTAACTTCAAAAATTTAATGTATTTATACTAATTTTTTCAATAAGCTTCTTTTTAGTTCTACATTTTTAACATTTGTATTACTGCATTGAAATTATCTTCGTACAACTACTAAATAATCTCATTTTGAAAAAAAATACAAAATCACTAAGATTAGCATAAACAAAAATAATAGAATGAGAATTTTTTAAAAATTGAAAGTTTCATATATTGTCGAACTTAGCCATGGTTTAGGCTTTTGTATACGAATGCAATAAATAATTGTGATAGGTTATGGATTAAAAAAACTGAGATAAAAAAAATACTACACACACTAAATCAGATCTTTAGGTAAGCTAAATATTCTTTTTTCTTTACAGAATTTTCTACATTTAACCAAAAACTAGAAACATAATCAAATTACTAGAAGAAATTAAAATCAGAAAAGCCTAAAAAAGAAGATTCGTGAAATCGATTTGAAAAACACAATTCTCGTGCCGAATGTAGAGATCATATTATTTTCATGCATATGTAACATTTTTCACTCGATTGTATCGTGTTTTATTATATTTACCAAGATATTTTTATAAAAAATACACATTATTGGTTATAGACTATGTCAATTTTAAATTATGCCCAAAAATATTGACATAATGACCAACCTTTTTATTGGTATTATTAAATTATAGTCCAATAATTATGTATACTCCCTCCGTTTCACTTTATTTGTCATTATAAGATTTTGCACACAGATTAAGAAAATATTTAATTTTACATATTTCTAAGATAAAAACATAATTACCTATACACCTAACCACTTTTCAACCAATAGAAAATAGAATATTATATAAAACTAATAAATTTTGCCTCGAAACTTTAAAATGACACTTAATTTGTGATAAAAAAATAAGTCTAGAATGATATATATTTTGAAACGGATGGAGTATTAAATAAGCCGAAAATATTTGTTTTAAATTTATTTTATTTGCTTTATATTAGTAGAAAATTAAGTCTGGGTAAAATATTTGGATCTGTAGAAACGAATCGAAATAGATTTCAAAGTAATATTAAACAAAACTAAAATTGATTAAGTACTTAGATGGATCTTAGAGTTTAATATCCAGCTAAACATATCCAAATTAATCCAAACTGAAATATTTTGGATACCAAAAAATCTTTTATATTTAAATATGTTAATTATTTTAAATTTATATCTATTAGATATTCAAAAAATATGAAAATATTTAAAAATTATCAATATAGTCACTTATATACATATATATATATATATAAAATAACATAAAATGTTTAAAATATTGCAAATATATTTTTTTCTATCCAAATATTTAAATTCAACTATTTTATGTAAATTTAAATATTTAGTCTTACATTATTCATTTTTATATTTTATATTATTTTATTTCCATATTTTGAGGATTTAAGTATTTGAATTTTTGTTAAGAAAATACATAATTAAAATGAATATTTGAACTCGAATATGAATCGAACTCACAATGATTCAAATCAAATCTAAACAAAAATTTGTAAATATCCAAATATAATTTAAATTTCTAACGCTAAAAATCTGAATAGATCAGCTGAATCCGAACGGATATATGAATACACATCCCTTAAAAAAAATTATACAACAAATTCTGTAGTGTAACATACAATAAATAATATAATAAACTATTTCATTCTGATTACTATCTAGTAGTACATCCTAGAAATAGAAAAAGGAGATGAATCATCGCTAGACCAACCAAATACAAACCAAACGTTACCTTTTCGACAAAATATAATCGTTAATACATTTACACCTTCATTCTCTACAAAATATAATCGTTAAGACATTTACAAATTCATTCTTTGTAACCTTATAACCGCACTGACATATCCCTCGTTTCGCAACTCGTAACGAATAGAGATGAAATGTATCTTATTAAAGTAAACTATAAATACGACTTGTGTGTGCAAATGCAATGATTGGTTACAAGATAACAGCCAACTTGGACCGAGTCCTAGTAGGTACACAGAAGCTGCGTTTGTAACAACAATAAACACGAGAGTCAAAGCGCCTCCAAGACGCGTTTCTCACTCTACAACACTTCCTTCCCTGTCACCTCTATATATATATACCAAACTTAGAAATAAACAAAGCACACCAAGAAGACTAAGAAGAAAAAAGTTTGACTTGACTAATACAATTTGAATCAACGAACGATGATTAATCCTCCTGATGCAGATCGTAACGGATCCATCGTGATCCGTGAGGTCTGGGCTCACAATCTCGAATCTGAATTCAACCTAATCAGCTCAATCATCGAAGACTTCCCCTTCATCTCCATGGACACAGAGTTCCCCGGCGTGATCCACAAAGCCGAGCCAGCTCTCCTCCGCCGCGGAAACCCGAATTACCTCTACAACCTCCTCAAATCCAACGTCGACTCCCTCAGCCTCATCCAAGTCGGTCTCACTCTCTCCGACGCCGACGGAAACCTCCCCGATCTCGGCGACGACGATAACCGCCGATTCATCTGGGAGTTCAACTTCCGCGACTTCGACGTCGATCGCGACCCCCACGCGGCGGACTCCATCGAGCTCCTCCGTCGCCACGGGATCGATTTCGAGCGTAACCGCACCGAAGGAGTTTCCTCAGAGCGCTTCGCGGAGCTGATGATGTCTTCTGGTTTGATCTGCAACGAGTCGGTGGTGAGCTGGGTGACGTTTCACAGCGCGTACGATTTCGGTTACTTGGTGAAGATCCTCACGCGCCGGGAGCTTCCGAGTTCGTTGGGGGAGTTTCTGTGGCTGTTAAGGGCGTTTTTCGGGGAGAAGGTTTACGATGTGAAGCATATGATGAGGTTCTGCGAGAGGAGATTGTACGGCGGTTTGGACCGGTTGGCTAAGTCGCTTGAGGTGAACCGGGCGGTTGGGAGATGTCATCAGGCCGGTTCGGATAGTTTGCTGACGTGGCAGGCGTTTCAGAGGATGAGGGATTTGTATTTCGTTGAGGATGGGCCGGAGAAACACGCCGGGGTTTTGTACGGCTTGGAGGTTTTTTGAAGCGGAGGGTGTTATTGGAGTTTAAAAACTAATTAACTTCAGTTTTATATAATACAGCATAATGCACATTTGATTTATTTATTACTCAACTTGATAATACAAATATAAATGGCAAAACAGCTTTGCATATCGATCATTTGATTTTTTTTTGTTTAATGGTTCGCACATAGTCTTCCATGGTTGACTCATAAAACATGCGTATAAACAGATGCTTTAAGTATAACTAAATAATTCACAATAGTGTAACATATATTCATGAGAACGATCAGTTTCTAGCAGTAAGAGAAGAGGTTTGGTGTCAATCATCATCAATAGGAGTGACATAAAGGCGAAGCAGTCTTTAGGTGACTTTCCACGGCGGTCGTGTGGTGGCCGAAGATGTGAACTGATGACGTTCACAAAAGCCCGTAAGGTGAGATTGTGATGAAGAGGAGGGTTTATGCCCACAAAACATCTGCGAAACTCCTTAAGATCATCTTATGTTCCGATATCTCTATATCAATCATCTTGTTCATCGAGTTCGTGTAATCTTGGAAAAGATTGATTGATTCCTTAGCCATTGCGACGCTCTTATCAATCTTAGGACATGGGCTGCGTAACACCGTGGGAGAAACTTGTGGTCCCTGGGTGTAGTAGGTGTGAGATGAAGGCCGAACTACGGAGACGCAACTGCAGGCCATAAAAATGGGCTTCAATATGGTTTTGAGTGTGATTTCCTCTTCTTTATCAAAGGCATTGTTTAATCACATAGAGAGAAAGAACACAAGAGTTGAGATTATTGAGTGAGGCGTTGTGTGTGGGAATTTTTTTTTTAAAGCGGAACCTTTCTTTTTGTTTTTAATTTAGCTTGAAGATTCCGCATTACTCTTTGCTTGAGAGATGATTAACAATTTTGATGAATTGCTCTCTGTTTAAGAATATTAATTCTATATGATTTCCTGAAATCCATGTTACTTTTGTACTTCATGCTATATATCATCTGGAGAAAATTACCTCGTGTTTTTCTTAGTAAAACGACCTCTTGTGCTATTATCATTTACATGTATACAAAAAGTGATTCAACCCAAAAACAAATTACTCCAAACAATAGTAAGTAAACTTTATTTTAAACCAAACAACAATATAATGTTCTCCAATGAATATATACGATCTAACGTAGGAGCTAGCAAGAAGATGACTTTCTTAGGATCTAGCCAATCCAAATTTATCGACCAATTATTCTAAACAAAGGATTGGAAGCATTTCATCCAAAAAGAAAGTACTTGTGGTTAAATAATCCATTTGTATAAACAAAAAAAAAGTAAACAAACTAAACATGATTAATCAATATCATATGAAAACAAGTTTCACAGATGCACAATGCATCAATATCTCATTTTAAAGATACTCAAAACCAAATATGAGATAAATCGATGATCCAAACATTCAAAATTGCACAAATAGAACACAGAGTGAAAAAGAAATCTTGAACTTTTGATCTTATAATCCCCCAAGCTCGAAGTTATCTTTGAAGACAATAAAGATTTTGGGAACACTACATGGTGAAGAACAAAGTTATGCACAAACACAATTACTTCCTCGCCAAATGTATTCTTAAACGGCTCATAAAATAAAATAAAATATTTTTTTTCCAGAATGCATAAGATAGACAAACTGGAAAAAAAATATTTTATGTTTTTTATTAAAACAAAGAGAACTTTCAAATTAAAATAAAAAAAACTTCCAACTCATGTTTGATTCAAAGATATACTCAACTTTTAAATATGTATGAAAACATTAAAAATCTATCAAAATAAATTCAATGGATATTTTTGATGGTATGATAGGCGTGAGGCGAAGGCTAGTGAGATGAGGACTAGTGTTGATGAGGAGTTTTGGCAAAAAATATCTTATGAAGCTGCTTCCAAAGCTTCTTCCGAGACTCTTAGGTAAGTAAAAGGTGTCATTTCTTTTAAAACGTGTCTACGTCTTAACTTGAGTTTGAGAATTAAACTCAATGTTATAACCGAATTTCTTAAGATTACATAACTTTTAAATTACCATACAAAATTAACAAATAAAATTATATATTTTCTTAAAACTAATTAAAGTGAAAATAATTTTTTAGAAAGGTTTTTGTATATTTTGAGAAAAAAATCTGGCTAACAAGAAAATAACCATTAAGCTGTTAAATATATTGTATTAACTAATATGAACTCTACGTTATTATTATGCATCCTAAATTTATTAATTTGTTAAAATTCAAAAAGTAAACGTGATAATTATTAGACAAACTCAAAATTATGTTTAACTCAAGTTCTAATATATGAGATTTTTGTTGATCTTGGTTTAAGATTTGAGTTAATATTTTTAACAGAGGCTATAACTCAAAATTGTAACTCAACAATAATCAATTATAACTGATGTTAGGAGTCTTCAAGGCTCCTAAAACAAATGTTGTAATATAAATGATTATCAAACAAATTCTAAGGGATTTTAAAGCAGTGAGAATGCAAGTACTCACTTAATCTAAGTGCAATCGATTAAATGATTGTTTTGAACTAAAACTACAAATATTAAAAAGCAGATATTGAAATAACTTTCTTGATTATGATAAAGGAGAACCCATGGGAGTAGGGATCAGATCTTAGGTGATTAGACTTCGAACAAAAGGTGGTAATGGCCAATTAAACTTTCAACCTTAAGCCTAGACTCATTTTAAACAAGCTCTATGTCTAGATGGATGTTCATTTACTAACTTAACTCAATCATCAAATGTCTTCGGTTGAATGTTAATGCAGTAATCTTTAAGAACTAGTCAAGGGCCATCTTAACACCCTTAACAACAAATGTCTTTGGTAAAGTGTGTTAAGAGCTTAGGAGAGTTGACTCAGGTATTTCATCGAACACCTTATGAGGTGTGAAATACCTAAAGATCAATCTTTGAGAAGCCAACTCAAAAGATGCATTAAGAGTATTCTACTAGCAAGGGACAAGATAAATCTACTCTAAACACCTTTGTTCTAATCTAATCACCCTTTAATCTCCCTATCCCATGAATTCAATGGTGGATTACTCACTAATCGACATGATTCCTCTTAAACCCATTATGGAGTCAAGCTTAATCAAATAAAATTAGTGTAATCAACAATGGAACAAAACAAGAACAAATAGAAGAATCAAAAGATGAACTTTCCAAGAGTTTTTTTTTTATGTTTTCTCTTCCAAAATTAAGATGATTCTGCCATGGAGATTTACAGAATACTTAACTTAGGTTTTCCAAAATGTCAAAACACAAAGCAAATGAACAAAAGGTCCCAAAATAAAACAAGTTTCGAGTACAAATAGCACGCAGCGACCTGGCCTAGTCGCTCTGCAGCTGGAGCGACTGGCCAGGTCGCTCCCGGACCTCGCTCCCGAGACGTTTTTGGTTCTTCTTCGTTGTGAAATTGCGAGCGACTAGAGGGCCTCGCTCCAGATGTCGCTGTGGTTTTGGAGCGACCTCCCTTAGGTCGCTCCAGCTGGTCGCTCTGGAAGCTTCTCATCGTGGGGCTGGAGCGACTTCGTGCAGCGGCCTTCGAGTGTCGCTCTGGCTCCTCCTCGAGCAATACTCACCTCAAATTCCTCTTTTGAACATCAAATCCACACAATCACCTCCAATAATTCCAATGAAACTCCATTACCTGAAAAAGGACTCATGTATGCAAAATGCAACCTAAGAATGACTAGATCCTAGTCTATATGGTCAAAATGCACATGGATGAATGGATAAAACAATGGAAATATGCAAGACATCAATAACTCAAACAAAATTTCAATTTTTTAAAAAAAATCATAATTGATAATATTTTTACTTTTATGCTTACCTCAAACTAATTGGTAATTTTTAGAAATTATTGCTCACATATCCTTTTAGGACCTTTAATTAGAGAAATATACATGATGTGACTGAATTACTTATAATGACCATATTGTCCTTCTGTCTCTTTCCTCTTACACTTAGGCATGTGAGCTTACAAGTTTATCTCTTTTTTTTTTAACTCTCTCTCTTTCTCTCTCTCGTTATTTCCTTCATCTCCTCTTTTAATTATCTTTTTTACATGAATTACATGTAAAATAAATATGTTAAATATTTTTTTATTTTGAATTCACTTTGATTCTTTAATAATAATTTTAAATTTAAATTTTAAATTTTAAATTTATTCATTGTGATTGGAAAACACAAAATTCAATGATATTTATTTGTTAACATCTAATACATAACACCTCTATTAAGATATATAATTTTCATAAATATCTAACACTTCTGTTAACACCTCTGGTACGTATACTTATTAACAACTAACACCCATGTTAACAACTAACGCTCATGTTAACATCTGGAACATGTATTTGTTAACAGCTAAAACACCTGTTAGCATCTACATTATTTGTTAACCGTTAACAACTTTTTAACTATCGACACTAGTGATTATTAACAGAGACATTAACTGTTAATAAATTTTTTGTATGTTAACAGGTGTGTTAACTGTTAACAAATATATGTAATATCTAATTTATAACAAATTATAAATTTATGTTGAAATTTTGCAATTCATTGTAATTTATGTTTTTAATTATATCAAATGTTAAATTATTTTATGTATTATAATGTTTTTATATTATACATTCAAAAATATTATTATTTGATAATATTTTTAGCATTTAAGAAAATCTATCAACACATGTAAATAACATGTCTCTCTCCTCTCTCCTGACATTTCTCTGCTACCAGCAGAAACTTTTCAATTAAAGAATGGCATTTTGGGCAATTCCAAGCGTAATTGTATGGTTTGAACCATTAATGTCTCATCATGGGCAAACCACTAATATTGGCCTTAAATAAGGGTATTTGCCTAAATCTCTCTAATTTTTATTTGAAAAAATAATTAAAAACGCAGGAAATATTTACCCGACTCCAGATCATACTAGTAAATTACGTAAATACCCTTAACTCTAGGGAGCGCGGTTAAATTAGATTAACTCAAGATTAAAGCTAATATTCTTCATTAACAGCGATGAACTGGTTCAGCAGCAACAGTCGCGAGAAGAAGACCGAAATTGAGAGCGGCGATGGCGACGCGGAGAAGTAGAAGATGCCGATAGAGACGAAAGGAAGATTGATTAAGATTCTAATTGATTAGTAGTTCAAGAATTAAGCTAATATTCTTAAGAGAGAATATTAGCTTATCTCTCTAAATAAATTCATGTAACAGAGAAATTTAAAAGCTTTGAATATATTTTTCTTATGGAAGAGTTTTTGGTTGCCGAGGAGCGATAAGGGAAATTAGGAGGGAGATATGTTATTATAGTAACGTTTTAGTGCCAACAAATAGGACATTTGAAAACTTATTAAGCACCTAACTAAAATCTCTTAAAACGTTTTTGGCATTTCTCTTGAATTACATGATTCTTAAGAAAACAATGGGTTAAGGCTATTCTACATAAAAGCCCATACGCTAAAATGGAAGAAAAAAAACAACAGAGTTGCTTTCCCAAAGTTTTATTTTGCAATGTCTAATTCTATGATAACGCATGCAGCTACTATACAAGTACAACATAACTATGGATATACAGATATGTAATGGTGCTTGTAATGTAGTAAGGTAACTTCAACTTGTCGATCTTGTAGCAGTGGATTGTTCTGGTTTTGGGCTCGATGGAGTTTGTGGCTTTTCCATGGTTGTGTTGCTCGGTCCAGCGCCTTGAACAAATGAAACCATCTGGTTCCAGCTCGTTCCAGCTAATCATTCTAAGTCAAGGAGCTCTATACAGGTTTAATATTCGGAAACGGAAAAACACCAAAAGTTCAATGAGAGATTAAGAACTAAGCAGAGAATCAAGGATACATTCGTTTGGCCACATGTCTGTAATGCTGACTTCCCCTACCTCTGATCGAAGCCAGTAATCTACATCCATCTGTGCATAATGTAACATTCAGATGATTAATGAATTAAGTATTAACCTTTGAAAATCTGACTTGCTTATGGTCTTACTATTCCTGGCTATATGTTGCTTCTAAAGTGTGCAGACTCTGATTATGCAAGTGGTGAAATTATTTTAAGGATGAAGAAGAAGTTGGCACTTACATCCAAATCTGGAGGAACAATCTTCATGATACCATCAACAAAGTCATGAGATTCGATGTCGGAGGAAACTCTTTGTGTATCATTAACTTCCTGTGTTTCCATGCTTTTGACGGTGATGCCCTCTTTCATTGGCATGGATACATCTTGGTTATCAGGGAGACCAGACGTAGATGGAACATTAGAAGGTTCATCAGCATTAGGAATGTCCTCAAATGTCTCTTCAAATTGACTTGAAAAACAAAACAAAATGTCAGACTCACTTCAGTTTTATAAACCCAACTGAGGACAGGATTTACCTGACGAGATACACGTCTATTGGTCCCATTGTGCTTCTCAAAATTATTCTATATCTCCTCTGAGGATAACCACCAGCCTGTTTAATGAAAGGTTAAGTTATGGAAATAGTTACAGACAGTGTTTCACTCATTTGGTATTTTGTGCTCTTAAGCTTTACCTCATCAGGATCTGGCACCTCAAGAGTTGTTCCATGCGGTGCCTTTACAGCGATCAGCGTACTATTCTAAAAGGCATGAGAGACATCAGAAAATCAGTATTTTTTTTTTAAACTGAGCAAAGTGCAAAAGAAAGAGCAGCACGTAATTCCTAGAAGGAGAGCAAACCTGGAAGCATGGTAGGTTCTTAATGTCGTCTTCAGTAACAAACAGAAGCCTAAAAGGTGGAGCGTTAGAGCAAATAGGTATATTGTAGTAGTTGTAGTGTACATTTCGTCAGGAGAGCAGGAGAAGGTTACCTTTTATTGTTTTCATCCTCGCTCAAGCTAGTTAATCTTTCTTGTGATTCTCTGCAACCAGGTCGACTCTCAATCAGATACCACAAGCAGAAACGGAAAAGAAAATGATCTTCGAGAATACCTGATCTGGTCATCCAATTTTGCCTCCTCAAATGCAAGGTTTTGTATTTCATCCTGTTTGAGGATTGAGGGATAACAAAATGTCAAACTAATTAATAGAAGTACGAATAATCCGAGTACTTTTTCAAACAGAAAACCCGAAACAAGAAATAAATGAGTGATTGAGACTTCAAAAAATTGCAGTAACCAATCATTCACTTACAAACATCTGTGTGTTTAGACTATATCAGAAACATAAAATAAAAAATCTTCCTTCAAATGTACTAGAAGGGGAGTACAATACAGAGCTTTTGGTTACTAGTATCCTAGTTACTTAACAGTTAAGACCGCGAAGAACAGGTATAACAAAAACTCTACTAATGCGGATTCATACGACGTTCAAGAAGACAATGTGACTTATACAGTGACTACTAAAACTGGTGATTTACTGAGCACTGCATAACATAGTTTGCAGTGGAGCATGTGACAGGTAAAGGACCACATAAGCATGTTCCATACCTGTAGGTTAGCTATGTTATCGAATGTTTCGCCTGGGTTTGAGACATCGAGACCCCTGAGACAGAAAAAAAGAAAACTAAGAAAACCGTGACTCACACATGAGCCATCAAATCAACAGAATCTAAGATGTGATATTCCTTACTTCCACTTAATCCTGTTCTTGAGTGTCTTCTCTATCAAACCTATTCCTTCTAACACATTGGTTATATCGTATATCCGTCTCTTTTGTACCTGCATCAACAGCAACATGCATCTAAGATTTGACAGAAAGTAATACATCAAGAAGGCAGGTACTAGGTAGGAGTATGAATATGTCACCTCTAAAGTATCAGCTGCTTTATTCAGATCAAGAATACCATCCTCTGCTTGTTTTATCAGATTGATAAATTTCTTTGTCAAAAGAGCTGAAGCACATTAGATCATAAAAAAAAGAAGAAAAAATTGTCATCCGAAAAGCAATTCTCGTCAATATTTAGTATGTTCAATAAGTTATTACCTAACGAACTATCATATCGACAAGCACCAGCCTGTGCCAAGTTATTTCCAGGAGAACCTGCCAACACAAAAAGATCCATCCCACTACATTACAAGGGTCCCTCTCCCGTTCTCTCTTTTATGTAATTGTTAGGCAATTATTACGTGAAACCGATAAAGAAAGGTTTAGCTATCACTAGCTTGATAACAGTTGCCTGTTTAGGTAGATACGAAAACACAGAGCAATTCAGGCCAAAACTCACCTGCATTAGACTTCACTGAAGACCTAGATGACTTCTTGGCCTTCCCTCCTTTCCCTGGTACAGGAGTTTGGAGAACACCGGTATTCAATTCACTGTCCTCATCTACCCGATTTACCAAATCAGTCTTACGCTTTAGCTGTCACAGTAAATAAAAGACCAGACTTGTAGAGTTAAAAACGAAAGCTTTAAACAGATGAATAACTAAAACTGACAGTCCACGCTCAATCTCTATAAGCTTATTCCTATCAGATGAATAAATAACTACTGTCACTCCACTGAGTCTAAAAGCAATAGTCACACCATAAAAAAACAACAAAACAAACCCTAGCAAGATGCACGAATCTACTCTAAATTAGCAAGAACAGCACAAACCCTAGACCAGCAGCAACTAGAGCAATCGCAGACTATACTAACTAGCAATGCGCAATTCGAGTGGCTTACACACGCCGTGGAATCAGATTCTAAACACAATAATTCTCTTTCACTATGATCTCAATATCATCATTGTTATATACTCATAACCTCAAAATTGACTTACGGAAGATTTAATGACAATTTCCTCGGAAACCTGATCATAACCACCGCCACCGCGCGTCTCCGCCGCGTCGAAGCGGTGATACTCGCCGGGAGCAACTAACGGAGGCTTCATAGAAGCCACGGAAGGATGATGCTGCCGCTTAGTATGCGGATTATGCTCGGGTTGTTGGCGAGAGTCCGACATGGGAGGCGAATCTCGAAAAAAATCCCACACCAAAAACGCAAACGGCAATCTCGGGGGGGGGGAATAAAGAATCTCCGTTAAAATTGAGATCTTCGGGGAAGTGGAGATCCTTAACGGAGGCAGATCTGCGGCTGAGAGTGCGGAGAATGTGAGGAGATCGGTGAAACGGCAAAAAAAAAAAAGCGGGAGAGGAGGAGAGGAGAAAAAAAAAGAGACGGTGAGGGGAGAGACGAGGAGAAAACGAGGGAATGGGTTGCGTTTGGTTTAGATAACTGATGTGGAGGGAAGGGCAACTATTATTTTTTTTTACATCTTTTTAACTAATTATCCCCTACAAATAATCCTCTAATTTTTTAAAAATTATAATTATTTTAGATTTCCGGTTTTATAATGAATTAAATAAAGGTTCTTTTTGTTGTCAAGTTAATCAATAAAGCTATGCAATTTAGTTAAATTTGGAGCTGAGTTTATCAAGCATATACGTTTTTAAAAAAAAAATATTCATAGAAAGAGCCAACACCTAGATAGAATAACTGGTTCAATATTTATGCATCGATGGTTAAATTAGTATACCTGTTAAAGAATAAAGAAGAAGGTTGTAACTCTCATTGTATTATTAATCACGTGGTTACACATATATATATACATACAAGAGAATAAAGCATATTCCTTAGGAGATAAGGATTGCTACAAATAAAGGGGATGATTATCCTAATCCTATAATGATTAGGATAACTACAACATATGGATAAATACAAGGGAGGATAATGACA